GCCGCCGACAGGAGGCGCTCGGGGGACCTGCCCGCCTCAGCTGGGAGCCTCACCGACGTGTCCAGCGCCAGGGGCCGGGAGCAGGATGCGGGCAGGTAACTGGCGGTCCCCAGGACTCTAGGAAAGGGCAGGAAGCTCCTGGGCTGGTTTGAGCTGGGCAGGCTCTGGGGGTGGTGTGGGGGCATGGAGCGTGGGAGCCCCTTGGCAGGCTGGAAGGGGCTGGGATGCCTCATAGCCCTCGGTGCAGAGCCACCGGGAGCAAAGAGTGTTGGGAGGGCCAGGCACAAAAGAAGCTGAGGCTTGTGTCAGGTGCTGCAGGTGCCCAGGTGTGAGGCAGAGCTGAAGCAGGCGCTGGCTTGTCCCCCTGCCACAGGGTAAGTGCATTGCCCCGGGGTTGTTCCCCCATTGCAGAGGCAGGAGGAGGGCACCGAGGGTGTGTACCGCAGCCTGGTCTGCTGTCAAGGTGCAAGGCAAGTGTGTGTCTGGCAAGTCTTGGGACAGGGCGTTGCAGGGAAGGCTTGTGATGGGAGGCTGCCAGGATACACTTCTGTTTCTAGGTAGAAGGAGGTGGCTGGTGCTGAGCACTTCCTGGGCAGGCGGTTTGGCACTGAGGGTTGCTGGCCACACTGCAGAGGGCATGGGTTAGTGTAGCAGGTGCTACAGGCTCTGTCCTTGTGCTGAGTCTTACCATTCAAGCCACGCTCTAGCAGTGCAGTTTGGGTATCTGAAATGTAGTGGGAACAGGGGTATGCTCCCTTCATGTGGCTTTGGGAGCAGCACCTGGAAAGTCTCAATCCTGGATGCACATCTAGGAGCAGGGAGCTGGTAGGTTCCTTATCTGTGGAACAGTAGGTGTACAGCGGTGTTCCGGAGCATTCATATTTCCTTTTGGTTTGCTGCGGTGTGGGTGCATCGGGCCATTCATTGCTGATACTTTTTCCTAGCTGTTTCTGACTGTTTAGTGGTCACTGTCATGACTACAGCCAGAGTCGGGAGCAAGAGGTTATTAGACAACCTGTATACAGAAGGTTGTAACTTGCCTGATGGCCCAAGTCTTGCACAGTAACTCCTGGTTCAAATTCATCCTGGCTCATTTATGCTGGTAGAAGCTCTTAAAATGCCACTAGCTTTGCAAGGAAGCAATAAAACCAAAGAGTGATGCCCAAAGAACAAACTCCAGGTGCTTTGTTTGCCCTGGTCTTTCTGCATGCTGTAAAATGACCTCACCACGCAGGGTCATGTCAGACTCATCTGTAAATGTGTTGCTAGCCCTTTTGGTAACTGTACCAAGTCAAAGCCTTTGGCTGTATTAGCCAAGACCTGCTGCTTCCCCTTCATTTGTAGGTCTTCTGCGTTGTATTAAAGTTTATGCTGCTCCCAGTCCTTGCCCTGCTTCAAAGCAGGCCAGCTGAGCAATACTGAATAGCAGATCAATAACCAGCCAGTGCCCAGCACAGTCCCTTGGTAAGGCACGTAGCAGTTACAAGAGGTTGAAGCATCAGTACTGGGAACCCATGGATGGTTAACTGTGACATGCACAAAACTTAATCTGGAAACTGAGTTCCATTGAAATGGGCCCCAATCTTGTGTATAGTTTCTTTAAACCAAGCTCTAAGCCTGGGGAATGTCGATCTTCACCAGGCTACAGCTACAGCTCTGTTACAGAACTGAGGCATGCTTTTTGGCTCTTGCAACCTTCTTGCTACGTGTAGGATGGAGAAACCCCATCGTGTGCTGACCAAACTGTGGTTGATGGCTGTTGCCCTCTGACAGCTTGGCATGCAGGCTACTGCCTTGAATTTCTCTTTTAGGTGATGGTGTTGGCAGTCCCTGCCATCTTTGCCAGCAGCTGACCTCTCACTCTTTGAACCAGTGTCTGAATTACATTACCTTTTCATGGCTGCTACAACTAGCTGCAAGTAACCTTCCTCTGTCCAGCAGCTAGTTTTCAGTGGCTGCCTCCCCCTCTCTGTCTCTGTCTCACCATTGATGAGGCAGGTGAAGCCTTGACTGTGCCCATAAGACAGCCTACAGGCTACATATTCTCCACCAAGTCACAGTATTCAACACCACAGGGGAAGTAATCCCATGCAATTCCCTGTGAACCCAATGAACTTCTGTTTTTCCTATGCTTTAATTACTTATTAACCCTTTGACTCTAGACCAGTGATTCTTAACCTTTTTGGACTCGGCAGCCCTCATCAGACTTTAGGCACCCCTCTGTAACTTTGTGAATTGAGTGGCACCCAGTTTCAAAAATCAGTTTATACATTACAGTGCTTATTTCCATACTCAGGGGTTGGGCAGTGCAGTTGGTGCATTGTTTGGGCAGAGACGAGCCTAAGCCTGGCTTATATCCTCACACCTTGTGGCACACTTCAAAGAATCTGGTGGCACCCCAGGGTGCCTTGGCACCCTGGTTGAGAATCACTCCTGTAGATCTTAGAGGTCTCTGGCTGCTCTTGTGGCACACTTTAATAGGGAGAAAAGGAGATGGTCCATTCCCTCTGGTGAGGCAGGTTGGTGCCAAAAGCTGAGGTGAGGGGTTCTCGTGGTGAACTGTGGCTAGCTCCCCATACTGTGAGGACCAAGTTGGGGTCCCAAGGTGGGGGTCTGCGGCACTGTTTCTGAATCTGGGAGAGCTGTGGTGGTGACACTGCTCCTCTTTGGTGGGGGAGGCAGGGAGTATCTTGGTGAGGGCTCAAGTGACTGTTTCTGGTCGGGCCAGAAGCAGCATTAATAATTGAATGGACTCTGGGAGTAGCAGTCTGATGCTTGCCCTACTACAGGCTTGATTAGCCTAATGTAGGGAGGAGAGATGGAGTCACTTTAAGTATGGTTTAAGGACTGCAATAAGTGAGCAAGAAGGTTCCTTGATAGTCACTTTGGAAATAGTAACCCTTAGCTTGAAGTCCCAGTTTGTGGTAACTATGCTGCCAATAGGCCTGAACTCTAGCTCAGCCTGATGTAGGCAAAGAGGTTGTAATGATTGTCCCCTTCTTTAGAAGGGTTTGTATGAGTTTAACTTAGAGATCATAGAGCTGCCTAAACTCGTGAGCTAAATCACAGTGTCAGCTTGTTATCACTTAATGCAGGTCAGTGTGTTTGAGCCATAAGCACAGTTAATGCACTCCTGTGATGAGGCTTGGGGGTTGTGCATGTGGTACATGGAAGCTGCTTTCTACAGTGGGTTATGATCTGCATTTGCCACAGATGATTAAACATGCCTCAAATGGCAAAGAGATTCAAGTTGCCTATAATGACATAATATTTTGCTAATGTACTTCTGGTTTCCTTGGTCCTTACTCTTGGTGTTTACAAGACCTGGGAGCATCTAGGATTTCAGAGCACTGAAATAAGGTGGCGTGAAATTGGCAGTTACGTCTTAACAGATTCAGAGCAGAAAGGAACATGTTGCCATGTGGATTTTACCTTTTGTAGGGGAATTTAGTGGTCACTGCTCCTGCAAGTCCCAGCTTTTACACAGTGTTTTCTTGCACTAATTAGGCACCATTTTAATGAAGGCTGGCTCAAGATGCTGAATGTAGCTACTGTTGTGGCTTAGGGACTCGTCTCTTGCCTGCGGCTTCCTTGGGCCTCTCTCCTTCAAGGTCCAGATGGCTTCTCAAACTGTGGCTTCTACAGACACTTTTAAGGGTCTCTCCTTGTGATGTATGGGATTGGGGGCTGCATGACACCTGTATCTTGCTGTATGAAGAAGGTAATATGGTGGTAGAGCACCTGCTGCTGGCTCCTATAGCTTGGCATTAGTGTTCAGTCAATAAAGAAGGGCATCTGAGACTGGTGGGCTGCAGTTTTGCCTGGGCAATCTGTTCTGGTGCTTTGAGGAGCAAGATAACTCCTTGAAAGCAGTCTTCTTATCTGTTGGCACCCCCTTGCTGTGCCAACCCTTCCTCCTCTTTGATTCTTGCCTGCTCTCCCAGTGATACCTTGGTGTCTTCCCTCTTTCTTCCCAAGCTGGATGAATGTGAGGTAGAATGTGTGGGGTACTTTTTGGAATATCAGTTCACCCCC